GGTCGTGACCTCCGAAATTCCTTACAAGCGTGGATAATAGCCTTCTATTTTGGAATTTTTTGACTTTTTTCGCCCAGAAATAAAAATTGTTGAGATGTTTAGCATGGTCCCAAATACCCTCTGGTAGTCCAATTAGGTGGGTGGAACCATCCAATATGCCTTAAAACAGTTAATTTACAAGTTTAGAACTTGCATCGATTTCATGATTTCAAGCCTACCATGGATGTTTATGACAACATATAATGGTCATATATGTTTCTAAACGGCATTATACGAGCCTCAAATGTATCCCCTATGGTCTCAAGACTTTTTACCACCTGGTCCCGTAACCTCCGAAATTCCTCAAAGAGCGTGCATAACCTTCAATATTTGAATTTGTTTAACCTTTATCGCCTGGAAATAAAAATTTGCCAAGATGTATATTACGGTCCCAAATATTATCCGGAAGTCCAATTAAGTGGGTGGAACCATTCAATTTGCCTTAAAACAATCAATTTATTATTTCACAACTTGCACCGATTTCGTGAACTCAAACGTACCACGGACATTTACGACAACATTTAATGGTCATATATGGTTCCAAACGACATTATATGACCATGAGATGTATCCCTTAGGGCCTCGAGACTTTTCGCCATGGGGCTTCGTGTCCTCTAAAATTCCTCAAAAGTGTGGATAATAGACTTCGATTTTGGAATTTTTTGACCTTTTTTCTCTCAGAAATAAAATTTCCAAGAAGTTAACCCTGGTTCCTTATACCCTACGGTAGTATAATTAGGTGGATAGAACCATCTAATTTGCCTTAAACCTGTCAATTTACCCGTTCACAACTTGCACCGATTTCGTGAACTCAAGCCTACCACGGATATTTAGGACAACAAATAATGGTCATATATAGTTCCAAACAGCATAATATGACCCGGAGATATATTCCCTAGGGCCTCAAGACTTTTCACCACCGGGCCCGTAACCTCGAAATTCCTAAAAAGACGTGGATAATAGCCTTCAATTTTGTAATTTTTTTTGACCTTTTTCGCCCGGAAATAAAAATTGCCGAAAAGTTTACCATGCTCCCTAATACCCTTCAGGAGTCCATTTAGGTGGGTGGAACCATATAATTTGCCTTAATCCGGTCAATTTACCCGTTCACTACTTGCATCGATTTCGTGAACTCCAGCCTACCACGGACATCTACGACAACATATAATGGTCATATATGGTTCCAAACGGCATTATATGACCCTGAGATTTATTCCATAGGGTCTCAAGAATTTTCGCCACCGAAAGTCGTGACCTCCGAAATTCCTTAAAAGCGTGGATAAGCCTTCTATTTTGGAATTTTTTGACTTTTTTTCGTCCGGAAATAAAAATTGTTGAGATGTTTAGCATGGCCCCAAATACCCTCTGGTAGTCCAATTAGGTGGGTGGAACCATCCAATATGCCTTAAAACGGTTAATTTACAAGTTTAGAACTTGCATCGATTTCATGATTTCAAACCTACCATGGAAATTTATGACAACATATAATGGTCATATATGTTTCCAAACGGCATTATATGAGCCTCAGATGTATCCCCTATGGTCTCAAGATTTTTTTACCACCGGGTCCCGTAACCTCCGAAATTCCTCAAAAAGTGTGGATAATAGCCTTCAATTTTTGAATTTTTTTAACCTTTTTCGCCTGGAAATAAAAATTGCCGAGATGTATATTACGGTCCCAAATACCATCCGGAAGTCCAATTAGGTGGGTGGAACCATTCAATTTGCCTTAAAACAATCAATTTACTATTTCACAACTTGCACCGATTTCGTGAACTCAAACGTACCACGGACATTTACGACAACATTTAATGGTCACATATACTTCCAAACGGCCTTATATGAACCAGAGATATGTTCCCTAGGGCCTCAAGACTTTTCGCCACCGGGCCCGTAACCTCGAAATTCCTCAAATAATCTGGATAATAGCCTTCAATTTTGGAATTTTTTGACCTTTTTTCGCCATGAAATAAAAATTGCCGTGAAGTTTACTATGGTCCCTAATACACTCCGGGAGTGCAATTAGGTGGGTGGAACCATTCATTTTGCCATAAAACGGACAATTTACCCGTTCACTACTTGCACCGATTTCGTGAACTCAAGCCTACCACGGACATCTACGACAACATATAATGGTCATATATGGTTCCAAATGGCATTATATGACCCTGAGATGTATCCCCTTGGGCCTTGAGACTTTTCGCCATCAGTGTTCTCCAAAATTCCTCTAAAGTGTGGATAATAGCCTTTAATTTTGGAATTTTTTTACCTTTTTCCGCCCGAAAATAAAAATTTCCAAGATGTTTAGCATGCTCCCAAATACCCTCTGGTAGTCCAATTAGGTGGGTGGAACCATCCAATTGCCTTAAAACGGTCAATTTACAAGTTTAGAACTTGCATCGATTTCGTGAACTCAAGCCTACCACGGACATTTATGACAACATATAATGGTCATATATGGTTCCAAACGACATTATATGAGCCTCAGATGTATTCCCTAGGGTCTCAAGACTTTTTACCACTGGGTCCCGTAATTCTGAAATTCCTCAAAAAGCTTGGATATTAGCCTTCAATTTTTGAATTTTTTTAACTTTTTTCGCCTGGAAATAAAAATTGCCGAGATGTATGTTACGGTCCCAAGTACCACCCGGAAGTCCAATTAAGTGGGTGGAACCATTCAATTTGCCTTAAAACAATCAATTTACCTGTTCACAATTTGCCCTATTTCGTGAACTCAAACGTACCACGGACATTTACGACAACATTTAATGGTCATGTTTGGTTCCAAACGACATTATATGACCTTGAGGTGTATTTCCTAGGGCCTTAAGACTTTTCGCCACCGGGCTTCGTGCCCTCTGAAATTCCTCAAAAGTGTGGATTAATAGCCTTCAATTTTGGAATTTTTTGACCTTTTTTCGCCCATAAATAAAAATTGCTGAGATGTTTAGCATGGTCCCAAATACCCTTTGGGAGACTAATTAGGTGGGTGGAACCATCCAATTTGCTTTAAAACCGTCAATTTACAAGTTTAGAACTTGCATCGATTTCGTGAACTCAAGCCTACCACGGACATTTATAACAACATATAATGGTCATATATGGTTCCAAACGGCATTATATGAGCCTCAGATGTATCCCCTAGGGTCTCAAGACTTTTCACCACCGGGTCCTGTAACCTCCGAAATTCCTCAAAAAGCATGGATAATAGCCTTCAATTTTTTAATTTTTTAACCTTTTCTGTCTGGAAATAAAAATTGCTGAGATGTATATTACGGTCCCAAATACCTTCCGGAGGTCCAATTAGGTGGGTGGAACCATTCAATTTGCCTTAAAATGATCAATTTACTAGTTCACAACTTGCACCGATTTCGTGAATTCAAACGTACCACGGACATTTATGACAACATTTAATGGTCATATATGGTTTCAAAAGACATTATATGACCATGAGATGTATCCCCTAGGGCCTTGAGACTTTTTGCCACCGGGATTCGTGTCCTCCGAAATTTCTCAAAAGTGTGGATAATAGATTTCGAATTTGGAATTTTTTGACCTTTTTTCTATGAATTGTAGGGGATTTAACTCGGGCTCATATAATATTATTTGGATTCATATATGACCACAGGTCGGTCTTATAATGGTTTGTGGTGGCCTTAAGTTAATTATGATTTATGAGAGGCAAGCGCGTAAATGAAAATGGCAGTTTGAAGGTAAAGTGAATTGTTTCCAACCACCTAATTGGCCTCCCGAGGTGTTGTGGGGTCTATGGGAAGAACCCCAACCATTTTTTTTCCGGGTTTGAAAAAATTCTAAAATTGTCAAAAAAAAAAATGAAGACTATATAGTACATGAAATTGGACTAATTTTTGTGGTTTTGGGACCGGTGTTGAAAATCTCGAGTTGCAGGGGATGCAACTCAGCGTCATAAAATATTATTTGGAACCATATTTGAACATTGGTGGGTCATATACGGTTTGTGGTGGCCTTTTTGTTAATTATGGGAGGTGAGCGTGTAAATGGCTAAACTGGGAGTTTGAAGGTAAAGTGAATGGTTCCTACCACTTAACAGGCCTCCAAAGGTATCGTGGGGTCCATGGTGAGAACTTTAACCACTTTTTTCCCTGGCTGCAAAAGTCCCAAATTGTAAAAAAAAGAAGACTATAGTACACGAAATCATACCAATTTTGGATGTTTTGAGACCGGTGTTGAAAAATCTCTAAATTATATAATATTACTTGGAACCATATATGACCATTAGTAGGTCAGATAAAGTCCCGTGGTGGACTTGCATTAATGAAGGGGGCGTAAGTTGTAACCGGGTAAATTGACATTTTAAAGGGAAAATGGATGGTTTCTACCACCCAATTGGACTCTTGAGGTGTCTTAGGGTCTATGGGATGCTCCTTGACATGTTTCCGTTCTGGTACCAAAAAGTCGGAAATTATTCTAAACTAAAGGTTATAATCCACGCTTTTGGACAAAACTTGGAATTTTTTTCAAAATTGAAGTGGATGCATGGGTGTCGTCCGAGGTTATATAAGTTGTTTTGGAATCATCAAAGGCCCATCAATAGGTCTACAAAGTCCCAAGAATGAGTTAAATTCGGTTATGTGGCTTTTTGGGAATTTGGTTACATTGGTAGTAAATAGCTGTAAGAGATGGTTATTTAAATAACCAACTTGGCACCCCATGGTCGTATTAAGGTCTATGTAACCCTTTATGTATATATGTTGAGGGTTCAGCTTCAATACTGTGCAATCCCAGAGTCTATCTTGTCAATATATATATTCTCTAGTTTATAAGAATATGATGGCTAAGGATACATGTTTATACAGTAAGCACAACAAATTCTTTAAAGTAGAAGAGCTTTTTGGATCTGTGTTACATTAGTTGATGAAATCCAGTTCATGCTTAACTTTAGTTCTTGCATTCATCATTTATTGAACCTCTTCTTGCAGCCAGTTGTCTTTCTTCATGGTGGTCCAGGTGGTGGAACTTCTCCAAGTAATAGAAAGTTTTTTGATCCTGAGTTTTACAGAATTATCCTCTTTGATCAGGTTAGCAGCTAAATTTGATTTGAGATACTTGTTATATTATACCTTTAGCAGTATTCTGGTAAGTATGGCCATTTTAATATATTTGCAGAGAGGTGCTGGCAAGAGCACACCTCATGCTTGTTTGGAGGAAAATACAACATGGGATCTCATAGCAGACATAGAAAAGCTTCGAGAGCACTTGGAAGTTCCTGAATGGCAGGTTGGTTTACTTATTTGGTTGAAATTCGCTATTTCTTGGTCTAACTATGTATGGTTGTATTTTTCCCTTGTGCAGGTCTTTGGTGGCTCATGGGGAAGTACTCTGGCTCTTGCATACAGTCAGGCTCATCCCGACAAGGTTTCCTTGACACCCAATTTCCAGTTGTAGTGAGTCCAACTCTTTAATGAGCTTAAAATTTACCCATTATTATTGAGACAATTCATCTGATCTTATGTCAGGTCACTGGCCTGGTCCTTAGAGGGATCTTTCTCTTACGCAAAAAAGAGATTGATTGGTTCTATGAAGGGGGTGCTGCTACTATATTTCCTGATGGTATATTCCTTCGATTTTCATTAACTATCTGTAGATTACACATGTTCTTATTTGAGGCTTATCTTGACCCTTGACCTTACTGGTTTTTGCTGATTTATTGGTCCATAATACTTGCTGATGTTACTGGAATTCCTGTTTCATACTTCTTACGTCATTTGTCGTTTTGTTGGACCCTTTGGAATGGGTTGGAGTGAAGTTAAAATCCATTCCATCCATTGTATTGTTTGGTTAGCCTTTTTAACTTTGGTACCTCATACCAAGACCCCACCCCCTTGGAATCCTATACCCACCCCATCCCTCCCCTAAGATTCACAATCAATTCCATTAATGAAATGTAGAATCTTTCCAACAAACAAAACAACTTCAAACTAGTATGGGATTTAGAAACCATACCCCACCCCCACCCCCCCGGTATGAGATTGCATCCCAACCCATTCCAGTTTCATGAACCAAACAGCCCCTAGAGAGTGCAATAATACCAATATTAATGCCTACCCATGTACTTCAAGAACAAAAAGATGGACTAACTATTAGAGTGATCTGGGCTCTCCAAAATTCAGAATATGATTACGTGATTGAAGAGTAAATTGTTTGTATACCTGCCTATGCAAAAATAGCATTTGTGGACATTGGGATAGCATCAAGACCTTTACATTGGAACATTTTCTGGACCCTTCAAAGTTTAGAGTAGATAATGATGGGGTATATTACATGATGCCCCTATGCTTAAGCTAATTCTGTTTGATAATACTTTTGTCCAATATCATAACGCTCTTATACTCTTGCATAGATGCTGACACTGTGAATGTAACTGACACCTAGTTTAATGCAAATCTTAAATTCTTGAGCAGCTTATCACAAATCGATCTGTCTCATACAAGAACATTTTGAGAGTTTAATTGTACAATTGGTCCCTCTTAATGGTCTCTTCTCTCTTGTTAAAATTTTCTGTGAAGCCTTGACAGATATAGTGCTTCAGCATATTTTAGTAGCCAGAGCATTTTAAGAAAAGCAGTACACTTATGACATATCTTATTTGACTCTACAAAGGAAAATCAGTATTTTTGTTTATTACAATTTTAAACTCTTTATTTATTTATTTTTATATAATAAATCCTGCTAAAAAGGAATATAGCATGAGTGTATACCTATTTTGGTTCTCATTCTTATGGTTTAACTTTCTCCTAGATAGATTTTTCATTAGGGTATTACTTGTGGTCCTTGGAAAAATAGCCCAACACAGTTAAATGAATTGTTGCCTACTGTTGATCCCCAACAAATGTATGTAAAATATAGTATTTCATGTCCTTGAGGACTGCTGAGTGCTGACATTGTTTCATATTCCTCTTTGATGCTGTCAAAGAGGGAGTAGAATATGTCAGCTTTTTTCTAGATACTTTGGTGTATCATTATTATTGGAAATATGGAAATTGTCTTGTCATCTTTTATTGCTGGTATTTAATGGGTTTCAAACTAATTTTCCGTTTGCAATGTGATTTATTATGGAGCCAGAAATTTGTGATTTTTAACATACTTCTTGTTTTATGCATAGTTTCATATTCCAGGATCATTGTTTCTGCTGATGGCCTTTTTTTTTTTTTTTTTTTTTAATTTTATTTACATATATCTTGCATCATGTGTTAATGTCATTTTCTTGGGTACTTCAAATTGTTCAATGTTAGTTCACTTCTTCCATATGCAGCTTGGGAACAATTCAGAGATCTTATTCCTGAAAGTGAAAGGGGATGTTTTGTCGATGCTTACCACAAGAGGTTAAATTCAGATGATAAGGAAACACAGGTTAGGTTCGCTTGTGTTGATATGTGGTCCTATTTGTAGTAACTTGCTATGGGCCTTTTTGTTTTGTTTATTTAATTTAATTTTATAACTAAATGCATTTTAAAGATAAGTTGTATTAACTTGGGCAAAAAATTGAGGGTGGAAAGTTCTTCTTGAACACATCTCCACGATGGAAGTCTAAGGGACTCAATAATTTGTCTTACTTTTATTGGGATTAATGTTTTTGGGTCTTCCCAAAGTTTTTGTACACAGTAAAACATGGCAGGTAAACAATTTATTCTCTCCTGTAGCTTGTGGATATCTTTTACCTAAAACAATCTCTATCTTTGGTTTATGAAGCTGGCTGCTGCAAAAGCATGGACCACATTGGAGATGATGACAGCCCATCTTATTCCTAATGAAGATAACATCAAGCGAGGGGATGATGATGAATTTTCACTGATAAGTTTGTGATGGTCGTACCTAAAAGCTCTGTGTATTAGCTTTTTTTTGTTGGCATATAAACTTATTCTAGCTTTCCTTTTTGTACATTTGGGGTTGAGGAAGGCGTCTGCTACTGATGTCTGTATTCCTCAAGGAAAATTTGTGAATATATATATACTTTGGGCTTTGGAAAGTGACTGTTTTGCATTGTGTGGTATAGCTATTTTAATTGGTTTTCTTTTTCAGGCATTTGCTTGTGTGGAAAATCATTATTTTAAGAATAAAGGTTTCTTTCCTTCTGATTCATTCCTGCTTGATAACATTGACAAAATAAGGCACATTAAGTGTACTATTGTGCAGGTAAACATTCTCCCATCTCTAGGCTTTGTTCTATTCGACTGATTTTGTTTTAAACTTATATTATCTGAACTTATCTTAACTTATACAAGTATTATTTAAATTTATTTTTGCTGTAGCAAAACTTATTTGTGAGCATGTCAGCACTATTTTTTGTTCATTTCAGCAAAACTTATTTGGTCTGAATTTATTTGAACTAATTTTGTCTGAAATAAGTCAAAATAAATTGAACAAATATTTGTACCGATAAATAAATATAACCTTCTGAATAGAACCGTGTTTCACATAGATTAATGCATTAAAGAAGAAGATAGAGAAATGGAAGACCTTCAGTAATAAAATGATCATGAAATTGATACTGTGCAATTGCTGTTTTTACAGGGTAGATATGACATCGTTTGTCCAATGATGTCAGCTTGGGATCTCCACAAAGCTTGGCCAGAAGCTGACTTCAAGGTAATGCACATGTGTTCGTTTTCATAATGTTCTGCAGTCATGTGTGCCAGTCATTATTCTGCCGCTGTAGTCTAAGGAATTATATGGTAGCCAGTGAAATCTTTTAAGTCTGCCTGCCCACAGTCAAGAAGGTTCCAGCATTCCTCTGTGTTAGTCTTCCATATATCAAACTAGGACTGTTGATTTTAGCTCCCTGTAAAAGATTCATGATTCATCTCTGTTCTATAAAATAAACAAATCAGTGTTTTTTTTTTATATCCCCTTGCTATATCAAAGTTGTTGAATTTGTATGCTTCCGGACACTCAATAATTTTGCTACGTTTTAAGATTTAATTATTTAGGTGGAAGTAAGGGTCAGTATGATCCTCTGTATACCATATGCCGGTAGTAGTTGTTTTGGGCTCTTCCTTGGGTATGACTCAGATTCATGATACTGTCTGTAGTCAGTTAAGAGTTTGCATATTTTAAGTCCATATTTTGCTTGCATTTCATTGCAGTCAGAGACCTGGTAAGAAATAATAAAATGCATATATACAAACTCTCATATTCCTTGCTTGTTTGTAAACTAATATGTAATTTTGAAAGACAAACATCTATTTTTGTGTCATCAATATGCTTTTTTATGAGATCTTGAGGTGACTGATTCCTGTTATTTTGAATGACAATCTGAATGGTATAATCTGAATTGTGGCAGGTGGTCCTTAATGCGGGTCACTCAGCCAATGAACCAGGAATTTCTGCTGAACTTGTTGCTGCAAATGAGAGGCTTGAAAGGAATTTTCAAGGCAAATAGTGTAATCATGATTCATGACTATGCAAGTAATAAACTTACTAGAGTTCTAGGATTTTTGCGCAACGCTTTCAATGATATGAGGATAACGTGCATGTTTTGATGTTGTGCAAGATATATATCATTCACATCTCAATAGTTGAGACATGTGGTAATTTTATTAATCGTATTTTATGTTTAAGTAATTGCTAACTTGTTCTGAGGACTTTGTTCATATGAAAATTACAACTCCTGCTTCATCCTTCCACTTTCCTTTGATTCAACACAATCAAACCAAAAAAACTTAATCAACCACATGAGAAGAACAAATGGGATAATGGTTACAACACTTACTTTCCATTAAAACCAAGAAGACACACTCTTTTATGTAAAATTGTGAAGTACATGCACACACTTTGTTCTTTAATACAATTAAGATATTCAATGAATTAATTGAACCAAATCACCAAAAAGAAAAGGAATTGTTCACTCTAGAAACTTGACAAAAAGAATTCACTCTAAATGTGTCAATTGTTCAAATCCTCATTTGTTTCTTGTGCAGCTTTTTGGTTTATGCAAACTCTGAAAATTTGGCTCTCTTGGGATAGTTACTGGCCTTTTCCCCTTTGTTGCTGATTTCTGAGCTTCAGAAGCTTTCTTTGTTGGTTCAACAGCCTCCTTTCCCTGTTTTCTTGATTCCTTTGGTCTCGATATAGTTTTAGATTTTTCAATTGCACTGCGTCCCTGAGATTTCACATGAGAATCGATTTCCCTGCAGAAAAATTACGTTCATATTCTTACTCTCGTGCTGCATTATAAAACACTTGACTGGGAAATGTTAAAGAATTGTGAGTTCTGCTCTCACCTCTGAGGTCCAATATCATGTTTCTGCAGGGTAGGATATTTGGCAACTCCAGAGCTCTTCTCCAACTTTGGCTTTAGTCCCTTTAATGTCATGTATCTGCTCTTGATTGGTTTCTGAATGGCCAATTTACATGAAAACTCTTATCAGAAATAATGTCTGCGAGAATAACCTTTTGAAAAAACACCAAGATCTAGGCTATTCAATAGCAATGAAGGGTGGTAAGACTTACAAGTTTGCCCTCATCTTTCTTGCCTCCTTTCTCTTTGTTGTCAGATACTCCCTGATGATGGGAAGAAGTGTTAGCGCCAATGCATACTGTCTAATGAGAAAATTCGATGTGCGTTAACACGAGTGGAAACATTTACCTGTGAGTTTTCACTTGTAGTTGATGAAATTTCATGGGAATTAACTTTTCTCTCTAGGGTTGCCTCTTTCAGAATTCCTCTTTCCTGTAACAGGCAAGCAATAATGAATAATCAAAATGGCCAACAGGAAAATTTTAAATAAATAAAATTTTGTGAATTGTTTAGTTCTCACATCAGTTCTTAGCCTAAAAGGCTTAGGGTTTGTTGGCTTGAGTTTCTTGTTCTTTAATCCCTGTGTACCACCAGTTTCTGCAGGACAGTTTTCTTTCGAATTTTTGTCCAGTTTTTGAGAGTTCTGCTTTGTTTTGACCACCTATAAGCATGAGCAACAATTTATGTTAGAGATCAACACATATACCCCATTATACAATGGAAAAGTTAATGGGTTTGGAAATGTGATGATCACCTTGAGTTTTACAGGTGCATCGTGTTTGCTGAGATTGTTGCTGTTCAAGTTCCTGGAATTTTCGTCACGAAAATGGTTGAAGATTTAAGTGTTAAAGACCTTTTTTTCTCTATAAGTGGATTGACAAATGACTAAACCATGATGGTAGCACAAACCTGATATCAGCAGAAGTCAAAGCATTCTCTTTGTCATCGTTGTCCTCGAGTTTACTGACTACTCCTGGATTCTGATTTTCAAGATCATCTGTAATTGTATTGTCCTTCTCTTGGCTTTGTTCATCTGCTTTCGGAGCTTGAACTGCCTCAGTGCTCACTTCTGCTGAATCTTTGTCATCTGAAACTGGACCTGCTGAATCTTTGTCATCTGAAACTGTACCTGACTGCATATCAGTCTTCTGAGTGTTCAAAGATACTGCCCCTGAACTTTCACCTGTCATAGGCCTATCCGAGGTTAATGTCCTTTCTTCTTGGGAGCTGCTATGATCTTCAGCCTTCGGCTTTACTGTTGCTGATCCCAAGTCCAAAGAGCCACACCTCGACTTGTCATCAATTTCCATATCACTATATTCATTTCCACCCTTTTCAACTTCTAGTTGAGCAGCACCAGCATGCTTCCTCTTATTCGCCTTGGCCTTGCTCTGGACACTTATTGGGAGTTTGGAATCAACCTCCCGTGTCTTCACCTTGGAGGAACCCAGTACCTTTCTTGAACGATCCAAGGGCAACTTTTTCTTTTCACTCGTACAATCCTTGGACGGTTTACGAGTAACATTACCCTTCTTTTGGCTATTAATCTCAAGCCTCTTCACCCCTGCACACAACTTACTTATAGGGGTATCCAGCTCCTCCGACACCTTCTTCTTTAGAGCTTTCTTAGGTGAGTTGAACACCAAAGCCTTAGAAACAACCTTACTCTTTGGTAACGAAATGCTCGTTTTCATCGGGTTTCGTACACTTCGGAAGGCACTAGGCTTAGGAGAACTCCCCCTTTTCATCCTAGGAGAAGTCATATACTTAGCAGCAACATTCTTCACCCTAGCTTTAGGAGTTGAAGCAGGCTTTACATTTGCAACGACCGCCTTCGTCTTTCCTTTCTCTTCATTAAAAAGCCTTGTAGAGATTGAACAAGAAACTAATCCTAATCTTTGCAGCCTGGATTTCGAAGACTTTGGAGGCGCCGAAAATGGGCATTTCTTACTTTCACTAAACAAAACACAGGAAAAAAGCTTCTTAATATAGAATTTCATTTTGCTATGTTGATAATAAGAATGAAACCTAATCAAGATCATTCAATTTCCCAAAAATGTTGCTTCATATGTAGGATACCTTGGAGGTTTTCGGCTTAAGGCTCGTCGAAATCGTACATTAGGACTCCTTGCAGCCATTACCTACAATGATCCAATGATGGTAACTAAGCTAAACATCACCACATTCATCAAAAAAACATTACTATCTCAAGCATCAAGATTTCAACATAGAAATCTAACCCGAAGCACGAAATTCTTGTAAATGGCTTCAGAATCCATCTCCTGCATATGTTGTTGGTCACACCCTGGAACACAAATACATAATACAGGCTCATAAAATTTACATTCATATTCAATCATAGCATAGTGCATAAAACAATAATGTATACTCTAATCGAATAAATCACAAAAAATCAGCTCATAATCATAAATTAATTTCAACTCTACTGTTTGAACATCAAATAGTTTAATTTCTTAAAAATAAAGGAATTGAGGAGAAGGAGAAAGACAAACCAACTCGAGAGCAGAACCAAAAGCAATCATCAGGGGAGAAATGATTAGGAAGTGTGAAATCGACGAACTTGGGAGCTTCGATTTCTTCATAAAACTCTTCTACCTCAGCTTCTCTTTCCATGGATGATGTCAGCTGAAATTTTTCTCCCATTTTTTTGTTTATTAGCTTATCAATTAATCTCAACAACAAACTCTTAAGAAATAATTAGTTTTTGAGCAAAGCGCGATTGATCGGATGAGTATAAGAGGGATTAAGGAGAGAGAAAGCAAGAGAATAATGCAAGATTAGAAAGAAGAATGTAATGTTTTGAACAAACAACCTGAACAAAAGAACAACAGATCTCACTTCTGGAAAACTAGCCGTTGGAGCAGCTTATCATTTACTCAAACCTTTTTCCTTTTTTTTTTTTTTTTTTTGGGTCATAAAAGGGGTATTTTCGGTAATTTACAAAATTTAAAAGACTTAACGTTAATGGTTTTGGGCTGTACAGTAGAATGGACTTCTTCAATATGATATTGGGCCCCATTTTTTAATTGGGTTTTATTGGGCCTGATAAATTGTTGCATAAAGACCTTTTTTTCTGGCTTAATTGTACAGGTGTAAAATTATGTTGAACGAGTAAAAGATAAGCATAATTTATTTATTCACTTCGTATAATTATTCTTGGTCTTATATTGGATTTTTTTTTTCTTAAAAAAAATTACATATCTAAAATTCTAAATTAATTAACCTAAAATTATATTTATACACGATTTAAAAATATGATTTCATACATGCCACACCACTTGGAAAGTTTAATGTATATTTTGTTATATAAACTATTGATATTTTCTTTTTAAAACAAGATAAACTATTGATATTAAGATAAATTTGGTTTGAGGTTTCCATTTAAGTGTAACTTTTAAGAAAGTCAATCCAAAAGAATGGTCTTTCTTGTTTTTTAACCGACTTATCATAATTCTTGGGAAAAGATTTACCTAAAAACTACTGATAAATCTTGGAGAACTATAAAACTGAACAACCCTAACAATACCTATAAATTAAAAGCTCCTACAATCCTTATTTATTCATAAACATAACAATTTCTAGAGCAATTTTTATATCTTTGATCAAAGAGAGTTAAAGAAATATGTGTGAGCTAGTATTATCTATTGATAATATTATTAACAATAATAACGGCGAACCATGCCAACATGGTGCATTCATCAACAACACATGCGCATTTTGCAAACGACTCAAGGAAGATTGCAACGATCCCATCACTATACCGTTTCGTTACATCGCTCCCAATTTCTCCCTAACCATAAATGCAATTCGACACCTAAGAGGTTGTAATTTCGGAACCTTACTAGACCGAAAGAAGCTAAATTTAGTACTCGACTTAGATCACACGTTGATACATTCGATAAAGACCAAATCGAAAGAGTTCACCCTAGAGGATAAGGAAAAGATCAAAACGTGTTACAAAGATGTACACGAGATTTGTGATGGGAAAAGATTGGTTAAGTTAAGGCCGGGTGTTCGTGAATTCCTTGAAGAAGCTAGCACTATGTTCGAGTTATCAATCTACACTATGGCAAAAGAATTCTACGCGAAAGAGGTGGCTAAAATGCTTAGATCGAACGTGTGTCAAAAAAGGGTTAAGTTCGAAAATGTGATTTCTAAGGAGGATTGTACTAAGCATAGACGACGGAAGAGGCTTGATGTTGTGTTGTCATCCGAACGGGTGGTTTTGATTATGGATGATTTAGAAGAGGTTTGGCGTGAAGAAAATCACAAAAATTTAATAAATATTAAGCCATATAAGTTCTTCAAGAAAAAAAGTCCTTGGGTTGAAGATTTGTTAGAAGATGACCAAGAACTTACTAGGGTTTTGGGTGTTCTAAAGACGGTTTATAATGTTTTTTATGAAAAGGAAGGAAGAAATTATGATGGTAAAGATGTGAGGGAAGTGCTTGAAAGTATCAAGATTCAGTCTTTAGTTGAAGAATTATTTGACGAGCGGTGGTTTGGAACAATTAATAAAGATTATTTTGAATGAGAAAAAATTATATGTGGTTATATCTAGGTTTTGTAAATGTATTTCATTGTATTTTTCTTAATGTAATTTTAGATATATGGTGTATAAGAAAATAGTCATTGAGTTCACAAGTCACAATAATACTCTCGAAGATAAAGATCTTTAAAACTAACTATGACTAGTTCATCAACATAGATTAGTATTAATCTCTTGTTCTTAACCTTTTAGTTTTAGACTTTTTGTTTTAATTAGACTTTTAGTCATTCATAAGTAGAGCTATCAAAAGTTGACCCGATACGAAATACCGACTTAAACCCGATTATTAGCCGACCTATCTGAACCCGAAGAAAAGGTGACCCAAACCCGACATAAAACCAGCACTAGACTCGAGTTGACCCGAGTATGTGAGACCCGAACCCGAAAATGAACTGACCTGGAGATGACCCGACCCGAATATAACCAGTAAATTATTGACCTGAATCGAAGCCGAATTTAACCCAACCTGTTACAAACCCGACCCGAAATACCCCCGACTTGTTATTGAGCCGACCCAAATTCAAGCCTACCACGAACATTTATGACAAAATATAATGATCATATATGGTTCCATACGCCATTATATGACTCCGAGATGTATCCCCTAAAATCGCTAGCCTTTTCGACACCGGGCCCCTAAACCTCCATTTCTCAAAAAGTGTGGATATTAGCCTTCAATTTTGGATTTTATTTTTACCTTTTTTCGCCCGGAAATAAAAATTGCCGAAATGTTTATCATGGTCCCTAATACACTCTGGGAGTCCAATTGGGTGGGTGGAACCATCCAATTTGTCTTTAAACAGCCAATTTACCGATTTACAACTTGCACCGATTTCTTTAATTCAAGCCTACCACGAACATTTATGAAAACATATAATGATCATATATGGTTCCAAACGGCATTATATGAGCCCGAGATGTATGTCCTAAAATATCAAGCCTTTTAAACACCTCCAAAATTTCTTAAAAAGCGTGGATATTAGCCTTAAATTTTGGAATTTTTTGACTTTTTTTCGCCTGTAAATAAAAAAAGCCAAAATGTTTACCATGGTCCCTAATACCCTCCGAGAGGTCATTTGGGTGGGTGGAACCATCCAATTTTCCTTTAAACGACAAATTTACCGATTTAAAACTTGCACCGATTTTGTTAACTCAAGCCTACCACGAACATTTCAGACAACATATAATAATCATATATGGTTCCATACGACATTATATGACCCCCCAGACGTATCCCTAAATTCTCAAGACTTTACGACATCGGCCCCGAAACTTCCAAAAATTTTCAAAAAGCGTGGACATAGCCTTCAGTTTTGGAAATTTTTGACTTTTTTTCGCCAGAAAATAAAAATTACCGAAATGTTTACCATGGTCCCTAATACCCTCCATTAGTCCAATTGGGTGGGTGGAACCATCCAATTTACCGGTTTACAACTTGCACCGATTTCATTAACTCAAGCCTAATATAGACACCCATTTGTGTCTCCCCAAAACCAAACCCAGTGATGAGTACCTTTCACGTCGAATCATAATCGAATGAAACGAAAGTGTGGAAAGGTCTAGTGTTGCGGAAAGTTTTTATTTCTTTTCTCTTCTTTCTGTTTTTGAAAACATAATTTTAAGAAAACAGCCAATCCAGTTTGGTTGGTCCATGATATGGGTCTAATAGTAGTGTAGTTGGATGGGGCTTGCAAAGACCTTTCCAACGATATGTTATAAGCCCAATTCCGATGAATATTGAGGAAATTTATGCCCAATTTACTAAACTGGGCCCGGATTGAGCTTTATGTACGGCCCAATGATCTAGGGGAGGGCCTAATATGATTTATCATTCCTAATGCAATTAGGAATGGTTTTAGTCTTCTAGAATCTTCTAGAAGGTTCTTTTCATTCCTAATTCAATTAGCATTGATAAGTTGACTTTGTTGACTTTTCGGAGGTTTAATCAAAATCAAATAGCATTTTCGAAGGAATTATATTATTTTATCCTCCAGTACGGTAAACTTATCGGATTTTTGAAAACGCGTTAGAATCAAGACTGGCGTCCAACCCCAGGCCTTGGCGCCTGGAACCAGGCTTGGCGCCAGACGCTAGCCATTGGTGCCTGACGCTAGCCACAGGTGCCTGGCGCCAGCTAGCCATGGTTGGCGCCAACCTTGTTTTGCGTGCGTCAGACTCTGTTTTGTTAAATTATCTTTTTCGGCTGATTTTCTCTATAAATATCGTATCAAAAACTCCGTTTTCATTCACCAATTCTATTCATTCGCAAGTTATCATCAACAATCATTAATTCTTTAGCATTCTTTCATTCAATTCTTTCTTACTTTGTTTTGCATACAAAATTCCGCATTCACAAGATCTAGAAACACCTAGCCATATCCGAAGTTGCTTTCGCCCTAGACGTGAAAGGTTTTAATTTCTGAGGGTTTGGCCCCAAATCTCTATTTCAATTATTTAATTTAATTGTTATTTATTATTTTCCTTGAAGTTACTAACGTGTGTATTTTGTTATTAGAAAGAGGCACGAGGCATCAAAGTAAGTACTTTATTGATTTATTGATGTCATGATGTAGAGATCATGTTTATATTGTTATTATGATATTCCTAGTATCATGTCTAGGGTAATTTTAACATTTAATATGATTGTTGTGATGCTTCCTATTCTCTTCCTAATATTTATGATTGTTAGTATCATGTTAGGGTTAAAGATTTGAATTTTAATGCTTAGTGACATGCTAGGGTTTGTTATTAATCTTGTTAGTATCATACCTAGGATCTTGCTATGTTTATTATGCTTTAATATTAACATGAACGTTATTATGATTATAATTATTGTTATGGTTATTTATTATGTCGCTTGATTTATTCTTTATTGCTTGATCACACCTTTTATTGCATGTTTAAAGGGAATTTTGTACTTGTAATCCTGCTTAATAAGATATTTTATAATCTTGTTAGGTTTAATATGATTATAATTCAAGTGATCTCCAATAATAGATTTTTTTGTGCATTAATATTCAACCAACATAGATTAAACAGGTTTAGGGTTAATCCTATTGATTGCATGTTAGTCAGAAAGCGCACATGAATACGATCAGAATAAAGTAGAGGTCTATTATTAGGGCAGATTCAATCTCTTTAGGTTGGATTTGTACCTTCATTCCCGAACCCTTATTTGGTTCATGACCTTATAGAGTTGACGATCTCTTGGATCGTTAAGGGGTGTAACCTTCATCCTATGAACGGTTTACAAGTTCCTTAAAAACTTGTTGGCGACTCTTTTGCTCTATCTTCTTCCCTTTTGGACGCCACCGTACTTTAGTGTATGATCACAGTGGGGTTCAAGCTAGTGGTATTTAAAGGCTTGAAATTATTCCCTACAGTTTTTGGCGACTCCACTGGGGAGGATTTCTATTTTAATTCCTGAATTTGTTTCGGCAATGATTTAGAATGAGTGGATGAGACTCGAAAAGTTCTAAGTATTTCATGTGCGTAATTTTGATTAACATTATCGTCATATGCATAAAAAAGATCTCATTGGAAAGACCATCCGTAATGAGTTAAAAACATAGGATTTTACACGTAGGAAATTTGAGGAATGTCTTTCACAACTAGGACTGAAATAACACCGCGCGAAACTGGAAGATTTTATCGAGCGCAGAAAGCTGCTGAGGCATGTGGGAAGTAGCGTCAGGGGCCAGAGCTTGGCGCCAGACTTTTAGCCGTAGCGCCATACGCCAGCATTGGCGCCAGGCGCTACAGTTAAAATCAAGCGCCAGTCTCTGTTTGCTGGCGCCAATTTCCCCCAATACCGAGCCAGAAATATGCGTTCTAATCTCGATCGGTTTTTCGTATTGTTTGCTCGATCCTACTTCCTGATTGAATTTTTTCTCACTTTTCTGAAACCCATATGTGTTCTACATATGGACATAACCCTCTGGGAATTCATGCTCCATCTACCCGATTGAACGTTCCGTGCAACAAAGGGTACATCCGAGAATGTTGAATTCACCAAACCATGAAAGCGAGTTTTTTCTAAAACTCGCGGTGTCCCATCCACTCGCACCAACCCTTCACGGTTAGGCTTCCGCACGGTGCATCCGGACAATTAACCATGGACCCTCTATTGACTAAACCATATCCCGAACTTTAGAGAACTAGAGCCATGGTTAGGTTGCGAACGCATTGCATCATATTGTGCCTACTTGACTAATTGTGCATTATTTGTTGTGCATATATATTCTATGTTTCTCTTAACCGTTTGTTGACTTGTGTTGAGACTACATAAATTAATGGCTTAAAGAACTTTTCCTAATTAATTAACTAATTAATTAATTTGAGTCAATAAAGTCTAATATTTTAATCGGAATTGACCTAGTACGACTTTAGGCATACCCAGTTGACTAATAATACCGAAAACAGTCCCAGGCCAAAGCTCAACTATTGGCGCCAAGGTCTGAGCTGTAGCGCCACACTATGGAGTGTAGCGCCTGACGACAGCTATGTTGTCTGGCGCCAAGCTCCACAGTGTGACGTCAGTCCTGTCGCTTGGCCGACAGTTCGGATTATTGGTCGAGTCATCACCTAGGGTCTAATTAATCAGTCCTCTGTTTCATTCGGTTAATTTTCGCTGTCAATAACACCTTGTCAAGTCATTAATCGAGTCTTAGTCACATAGTCTAGCCACATGGTCATGACACGATTCTTAACGTACCATCTACACTCACTAGTCTTAGCACACACGTTGAGTACATCACCATGGCCATGTCTTAGGTCCATGCATGAGTCGGTCTTTCCGTCATTTGAGTTGGGGGAGTACATTCTATTCCTAATTCTTCATATCCCTCCACCTAAATCCTTTTCACATTCTTCCATCTTTCTTCACTTCCTTCATCTATTGCATGTTGAATAAAGTTTGAGTCAAATAATTAACAATCAGTACCCCCAAATTCCTTTTCCACAGTACTTGGTCGAGGAGAGAAGGG